CTAGTTTACAAGCCGCATAAGATCTGAGGATAGTACGGCGAGGTATGAAAAAATATTCGCAGAATTATACTAGCCTTGAATGTGGTTAGATAAGATAAAATCTCACACTCAATTTGTCTCTAATTTTGCCTAAAATTGTTACTCATTATTTGTTCCTTAAATTATATTAAGTGTTTAGTTTGGGAGTCTTTGTATACAAAGTTGTCATTAAAAATAAATAAAAACATGTCTTAACGACAAAAAGGAATGTAGTGGTTTTATAAAAAAAAATATATTTTAGTGGCATCCTAGAATTTGTCTCCTATCAATAATTTTGCTCGACATAAAAATAATTTTGCTCGATTTTTTAAGGAAAAATAAAATACTTTACTCCTCAAGGTTGATAAATATTTTAAGGAAAAGTTATCACACTGAGAGAAAAGCAATTTTTTGTTTCAGTCGAAAGTTTAACTTAGTACCTAATAATAACTTAATTTTGAAAACAACAAAATATCAATTTTGTTTGCTTCACTTCACCTATAACATATACTAGCGTCATTTGATCCATAATCAAAAAACTTGTTTTAAATGTTTCAAATTGTCTATTACAGAATTTTAATTATCTTTATCAATGGTGCGATTTGAGTTTTTTTTCTTAGAAATTTCGTAGGCTTTGCAGTTATCTTAGCATAATATTTAAAATATGAGTTTTATTCAGACGCGAAAGTTACTCTTTAGCTTCATTAGGTTTTGTCAACTATACCAGTATCGAACTTTTTTCCCGAAAATTTCACAACCTGGAAAAATTTCTCAAATTTTTGGTTTTTGGTGGATAAGATCTTTCAGTTTCGATTTGCAAGTATTGCTTTTACCAGCTACTAATTCCAACTTAAATTCGTAATCTGCTTTGTTGTTTGGCTTGTTTAGATAAAAATATTTGGCCAATGATTATACAGCATGATTGCAAATTTGGGTCATTCCTCTAAATGAGTTTTCTTAGAGTATGTATGGAAAACAATAATTACTTTCAATTAGTTTGATAAAAAAATATTAAATTAATTTCATAAAAAAATTATGATTAGAGAAAACGTATATTTATTTTAATGCATAAATCCGCTTCCATCTTTTTCTTAATACATAAATCTTTGCTTTAGTCAAATGCCAACAAAGCTAACAGGTGACATTAAAAAGCAAGAAAAAGGGTTAATTTTTCTGATAGAATTCTCAATTTGTCCCTCTAATAACTTGAGAAGAACTGAAAGTTTAAAATTAGTATTTCAATCGAGTTCCTAAAGCAATGATATGAATAGATGAATATCATTGCGTACAAGAAGTTTTACTTGATACAGAGTTTCTGCAACAGTTCGAGATAATAAATACAGTTAGAGCTACGTCTAGCAGAATCAAAAAAATAACCGGACACGATCAATTTACATAGTACTTCTGGGACTCACTGTATAATTTATTGTTCATAAAACATCATCAATAATTTGGAGTTAAACTTTGTATCATTTGTAAACGTTTCTATTTTTTTTCAGATGCTCCGTAAAGGTTGTCCATAATTGCTGAGATGGACTTGAAATCTACATGTTTTGGTAAGTTTTACTTTTACAAGACCATTTTTCGGGTGACCAATGTCGAATTCGGGTGAGATCCTCCCTAAAGCACCTCCCTGTTAGGGGCATAAACATGTTTCATATTTTAATTTTTGTTTAAAATGAATTTTGCTAATATATATTTACAGTTCAAAATTTAATTACGTAATTACAGTTTCTTCAATTTTAAATTTTTTTGATTCCAGAATTATCCACATCTTCCCTACGTCGACTAAAAATGAATCAATTGCGCTGCAAAGGACCATCGAAGCGCAGAGAAAGTGCTTTAGTTAAGATATACTAGTAATAATTGATATATAATTTGCCTAATAAATTAAATATAATTACATTTTTATTGTTTGATTATTTTGGGTAGACCTCTAGCGCTCTGGATCATTCTGCTGCAGGTTGTAATCATGGACCGTTCGTTAAGGTAACGCAATTTTCTACTAGATATCTGTTTTGATGGCGATATTTATTTCGCGCTACTTTCTAGTGTTTTGTATCAAATCCCATTTTTATCGGGACTCACACAAAGCGTAGCGTTACGTTACTTGGTGATGAATATTTATTTATGCTGCTAATATTTCCTTGGTCGCAACCTCCTTGAATGTTCTACTCTCCTGATGAAAATGATATTTTAGTCAAGACACAGAAAACAGTTTAGCATTACGTTAACTGTGATTAGTGTCTATTTAGGCTGCCAATATTTCCTTGGTCGCAACCTCCTTGAATGTTCTGCTCTCCTGATGAAAATCGGATTTTAGTCAAACCACACAAAATGATTTTAGCGTTCCGTTACAGGCGATTGATGTCTACCTATTCTTCCGATATTTTCTTGTTGCCGCCTCCTTGAATATTCTGTTCTCCTGATTCAAATGAGATTTTAGTCAAGGCACAGAAAACAGTTTAGCGTTACGTTAACTGTTTTTAATGTCTATTTAGGCTGCTAATATTTCCTTGGTCGCAACCTCCTTGAATGTTCTGCTCTCCTGATGGAAACCGGATTTTAGTCAAACCACACAAAATGGTTTTTAGCGTTCCGTTACAGGCGATTGATGCCTATTCTCCTGATATTTTCTTGTTGCCACCTCCTTTAATATTCGGTTCTCCTGATGCAAATGAAATTTTAATCAAGAATCACAGAAAACAGTTTAGCGTTACGTTAACTGTGATTAATGTCTAATTTATGCTGCTAATATTTCCTTGGTCGCAACCTCCTTGAATGTTATGCTCTCCTGATGGAAACCGGATTTTAGTCAAACCACACAAAATGGCTTTTAGCGCTCCGTTACAGGCGATTGATGTCTATTCTCCTGATATTTTCTTGTTGCCACCTCCTTGAATATTCTGTTCTCCTGATGCAAATGAGATTTTAGTCAAGACACAGAAAACAGTTTAGCGTTACGTTAACTGTGTTTAATGTATATTTATGCTGCTAATATTTCCTTAATCGCAACCTCCTTGAATGTTCTGCTCCCCTGATGGAAACCGGATTTTAGTCAAACCACACAAAATGGCTTTTAGCGTTCCATTACACGCGATTGATGCCTATTCTCCTGATACTTTCTTGTTGCTACCTCCTTGAATATTCTGTTCTCCTGATTCAAATGAGATTTTAGTCAAGACACAGAAAAGAGTTTAGAGTTACGTTAACTGTGATTAATGTCTATTTATGCTGCTAATATTTCCTTGGTCGCAACCTCCTTGAATGTTCTGCTCTCCTGATGGAAACCGGATTTTAGTCAAACCACACAAAATGGTTTTTAGCGTTCCGTTACAGGCGATTGATGCCTATTCTCCTGATATTTTCTTGTTGCCACCTCCTTTAATATTCGGTTCTCCTGATGCAAATGAAATTTTAATCAAGAATCACAGAAAACAGTTTAGCGTTACGTTAACTGTGTTTAATGTATATTTATGCTGCTAATATTTCCTTGATCGCAACCTCCTTGAATCTTCTGCTATCCTGATGGATTTTAGTCAACACCCACAAATTATGTTTTTTCTCGCTACTTTCGAGTGTCCTTATCACCCAGGATTCAAAACTAGAGTCCCACTAATCGATAAAGGAAACAACGGAACAAAAAAAACATATTTCTCATTTATCATTTTTTATTTTCAACAATTTATTTACATGCTCTTTACTATATTTCCTAACTTAACAACGATAACTTATTCTAAGCACATTAGACTTCTTCAGGAGGCACTTGAAACGCATCATTTGGTTATTGTTAAATATAGAATCTAATAAATGAAAGTTCGAATTATAAAAAAACCATTCAATTCCTATGAAACTGATGAAATTGCAAAACTCTAAGTTTTAACATCCTTTAAATATTACAGAATAGAATTTTATATGTCAATTCTCAAATGGTTTTGAAACCATTGGATAATAAATATGTTCATTCAAGTTGGTACTTTTGACCATTTGCTTATCTTCCAATAGAATTCAAAAGTTCGTTTAGGTTCTTTGCTACTTTGGCTAAGACTTAAATTGCAAATTTTGCGTATTCTAAATTTGGCTTATTTACGTTTCAAAAATCCACACGTAAATTAGACCCACACCACAGAGTACCAATGCATTGCAGGTCCGAGGGGGTTCTGCGGGATATGCAAAAATTCTGCGGCAATATTTCCTGGTCAATTTGGACTAACAAATTGAACACCTCTGCAATAAGTATTATGGATTCCCATAGCGGCCACACGCGTGAAGGCATGTATAGAATCAGCAAGAAAGATTGAGATTTTAGATTGTACCTGGGAAATTCTACCAGAACTTCAAGAATTGCGCATTTCTTCAGCGAAGATGTACGACTTGTTTACGATTAGAATGTAGCCAATTTACGGTTACTTTTAATGTGAACTGAAATCGATTTTAAATCAATCATCTAGGTTTAAATTAATTGTTGAGTGGTTTAATGATTATTATTTAATTAGCTAGAGACGTGCTTCAAATGATAGCGCAAAAAAGCAGAAAGGTTACTCTGTGCAGGGAAATGCTGTTTATTGTATGTAGATGTGAGGCTAGAAATCTGGGAAGAATTAATCGAGAATTTCTCTCGGATCGGACTGCACGTCGCTAATAACTTTTCCGTTGATAGTGCCGTTAATAGAGTGGAAACATGTAGAACTGTTACCGTTTTAAATTTGCATTAAGCCAAATCAAGGTCATGTCATTATGCACTTATTTGCACAATGTGTGTGAAGACGATTCTAACTCTATTCCTTGAGTTATAATAACGTAACTGAATCTTTCGCAAATTCACAAAAGTAACGATGCTTTACGTTTGATGTCCACTATTGGACCTTTTGACCCGAGCTGTTTAATTAAACTCCAAGAGCCTGTTGCAACGTTTTGGGCTAACGGAAAAATTGAATAAACGCCTTAAAAACACCTGACAGGTTCACATCAAACCAGCACAGTCAGTTTCATTTATTGAGCATCAATCAATCAAACGAATCTCAAAAATCATTAGTTGAATTTGTGTTTTTCCAAAATCCCAGGTCGATTTTCCCATCATGCTGTTGCTGTGGTATGTGTTTGTCTTAATTATCACAACGGGCATGATGGTTGTGGGTTTTCTACTTGTGACCTCCGAAAACTTTCAAGACTTCAAGGAATGTTGGGGCAAAAGAGCACCACGAATCACGGAATTACCTATTATAACACCTACTGGACAGATCGTTAATTCCGTGGAAGATCTAGACATGCAGCTTGAATTTTTGGAAAATCAGTTAGAAGAAAAAGAGGTAATTGTTGCATTTTATTTGGTTTTATTCGGTTTAATTGAATAATTCCGATCTCTTTAAAAAAAAGTCTTGTTACTCGGTTCGGAATGTATTTTCAATGAAGTTTCATTTTTCAATTTCTTTCTCGCGTCGCGAATGTTTTCGCTCCCGGTTCCTTTACTTGGGAGGTGTATTAAGGGATAACTCAGTGAATTTTCAAGAGTTGGCGCAGTGCTGGACAAACTGAAGAAGGGTTAGCCGTAAAAAATGTAGTGACCTTTTTTTACGTGCTTAAATTCTCTAGCCCCGGGCCTAGTAAAACTTTATCCAGACCTGGGATAAATACTTTGAGTTATAACTCATTAGCTGATAAGTTATAACTCAACTGACAGAGCGACATCAACTCAATAGCGCAACTTAGCACAGTGATATCCATGCCTAAGGGCATGCGTAAAAATACAAGTATTTTTTCAAAACAGTTAAAAACCAACGTCAATTTCCATATAAATGGCAACATTCAAATAAATATTTCTAAACAGAAAAAAACCCAAATCGAACCAGTCATTTCTAATGTAAATAATATACAGTGTGTCCCAACGATGGATTAAAGTCTGTTTACGATTAACTAGAATTATTACTTGAAAATTTTTCATTGTCATTTTGTTTCCAAATAAAAAGTGTTTTTCCACCAGTTTTTCTAACGGAACGTCGGACCATTTTTTTTTTTGAATCCTCATAAATTTCAATTATTGTATGTTAAATAAAATATAAAAGAAAATTGGATATTTTTTCAGTTAATCGGCTTTAACAATGAAAATTCGTACTTTCAGTGTTGAGAAATCGAAAATTTCCCCGTTGTCTTTAGCCTCAAAATTTCGAAATTTGGCTTGCGAATGAATTACTACTATTTTAATATTTTGTTTGCAAAATATTTGTCCTTGAAAATACAGGACGGGCGTGTTAATTGTCCGAATCAACGTAGGTATTTTTAAGCTAAAAAATTATCACCTTTGAGAAAGCCTTTCATTTTAGCTAAATATTTCCTTTACCTCTTAATAATAATAATAATTTTCATTAATGATTTCAAAGAATTTTTTTTTCTAAATTGATCTGCAATGGACTAACAAACAACACAATGACATGGTTTTATGAATGGAGACTAACGCCAAACGCGATAAAAAATCAACTTCTGCTCACGAACCACAGACTCAACGCTGACTCCCCCACAATAACTGCAGACGGAAATATAACACAACCGAAAAACGACATAAGGTACCTTGGGATGACAATCGACCACAAACTGAAATTCACTAAACACACAAGAAACATCAGAACAGAAATGATAAAAAGACTTCCAGGGCCTTCTAGGGGCACTCAGATCACAATAACTGACACTTTTCCAAGCACCAAATAAATACCGAGGAAGGGCTACATTCCTAATACGTTTGTACGATACACACAGCACAAGGACATACAAATGGAGCAGGAGTTAATTAACTGGATTACGAAAAGCTGCTTGAGCTAAGTGGATAATAAAGAGATTATACAGGCACTAGCTTGTTTAGAGTTAACCATTCAAATGGTTGGTGTTGTATGGTTTATTTTTAATCACCAATATTCGAGGTTATGAGAACAGGTTGACATTTCGTCAACAAATCTTGTTGAATTTACCGTTTATCCTTGTCTATCTTATTGTTATCTTATGTTATCTTATGTATAATTCCATGGTTACCGGAGTTTTAAGTAATTACGAAGCAGCAGGTATTTGCGCAATGTTAATTAGTCAGATTACCTTGAAAAACATTGCTGCCGTATTTCTGATATAGTTTTTTGAACATTTCTCAGTTTTTAATAACAATTAATTTATTTTACTATTTTTTCTGTACTCTTATAACAGCGCCAGACAACACCTCCAGAGGAATGACGCCAATTTTGAATCACCCTATATGTAGAGATCGGTTATTTCAACATTTATTAAGTATACCTAAAATAAGCGTTTTTGTAATTGTTTTCTTTAATTTTTAATCATGGCTTTCCATTAAATATTGTTAGATTGTTAAATGCTAATTTTTGCTTATTTAAGCAATTGCTTGTCTAGATTACCGCGATATAATATTGTAGTAACCAAGCAAATTTAACGCAGCTAGATAAAACAATTAAATTTGCTTGAAAAGAAAAGATTGGTATAAAAAGTAGCCAAATCCAAGGTGTTCCTATTCTGAATAAATATCACTAACAATATATGGGAAGAGCAATTTAAAAATGTGAGATTTTTTGCTTGAAAATACGTTAATTTGGACGACTATTACAAAATACTTGAAAATTTTGTCTCTAAAGACAACGGAGAAATTTTCAATTTATCTACACTGCGAATTTTCATCGATAAAGCCGAATAACTTAAGAACTATTCAATGATCTGCCAAATTCTTTAGAACAAAAAGCAATTGAAATTCAACATAACAATTCAAAAATTAATCAATATATGGAAACAAATTTACTGGTCTGCTCTTTTCTGATGCACTCATGCATGCATAATTATGGATATTTTTAAAATCTGCGCGTTTAGTAACTTCACAATATGATGACAATTTTAAAACAAATAATACCGCTTAAGAGTAAATTTCCTTTACTTTATCGGGGCGACACCCTGAACAAATTGTAAATTGGCTCTTCAAACTCTTTAAAAATCGGAGTTATTTAGTGATTGTTAATGTGTTCTCAGCTAACTGAAAGCTGAAAGGCTGGTATCAAAGCGAATACAAAAGACCACTATTGAAATATGTGATAAATGCAGAAAACTGGGTTAGATGTTAGAAGAAAGAATCGAAAAACGTTATTTACGGAGCTGAAAATCATTACTTTCGTAGAACTACACAATTTTCCAATGAGTCACAGGCATACAGGGGTAACTTTATGAACTTTTTGGCAACAAATTCAACTCAGTAAAAAAGTCAGTTTTTTATTTCTTTTATTTATATTCGTCATTAAAAATGTAAGTACCTTGTAATAATTTTTTTTTTGAACAAAAATGTTCTTTTTCAATAAAATTTCAACAAATTTTCAATGTTGGGTTTTGAAAAATTCGTAAATAATGTATGAAACTATGGAACAACAAAATAAAATGTAGTGGCAAGTGGCTCATTAAAAATTAAAAATAACTTTTATTTTCCTGCAAATATATTTAGATGCAAAGTTAATCGGGATCTAATACAGGTGAAAGGTGTAATTAAGGACATGAAAAAGTGATCACAAATCCCAAACATGATTGACTTTACAATTAATAAACAATGAAAAATTCGCCTTTAATTGATGGGCACATTGATGAATTACGCCTAGAATAATAAAACTTGATGTGTAATAAATTGTATGATATTGTTCTAGCCATTAAGTGCCTCTTTTATCTTGCAAAAATAATTAATGACTCACTAGGCTCCAAGAACTTTCACGACACTTTAACATCAAACGGAGGATTTCAAAAAGCCTATTCGTTCCCGTCCAGCATTTTATGAGATAACGGTATGGGTAAAGTTAGCGGAAAGTGGACTATAACAATAATTGCTAATTCGCGGCAAAAAGTATTACATAAAATACACGCAAAGCATATTTTAATATAACATTATAATTAAAATTAACATCACTTTCATGTTATCTAAGTGTAGCGTAGAGAGAAATAAATAAAATAATTAAACTTAAGAGTAACATACTTATATGTGGAAAAGCTATAAACCTTGTGTGAATGTATTATTATTTATTTTACCTGTATGTATTTCATCTAATTTCTGTAAATTTCAACTACTAATAGTTTGGCAATTAAATTACTTTTATGTGTTAATCGAAATATTCAATGCTTTGCATATTGCATTGCATATTGCATTGCATATACACAGCGACCCAAAAATTTGGTTCCATAATTTGAACGACATATTGTACGACCAAAAATAAGAAAAAACTTATATAAATATAAATGTAAATGCTTCGTTTAGTTACAGGGTGTCAAAAGTTTAATTTTTTTCAATTTTCTCTCTTCAATTCCTAGCGCTTATCAAAAGCATGTAACAATTTTACGTATTAGTGAGCCTTAACTAAATAGCTGTGACAACCTATAAAGTGTGATTTCTTCTAAGTTTTTGTTTCAATTTTCTGATTTAAATTTAAAAAAAAAAAAAAAAGAAGCTTATAATTTACAATGCTACTTTAAGAAATTCCAACAACAAATGTAAACATAGTTTAAATTAATAAGTCGTTAAATAAAAGTCAGGCAAAAAATTAACTGGAAATAAAATTCGTATGTATTTAAAGCTGGTAGATCAATCACGTGCGAATATATGTTTTTTTTATGCATTGTTTCTACTCGTAGAAAATGCAGTTTAAAATGTACAATCTAATTTTGGGTACCCGGTATTTATATGTCTCTTAATGGAACTGCTTGCTTGTCTCTCATGAATTGTGAATAAATAAATCGAATGCATTCTCAATAAATAAAACTGAATTCCCAAAAGAGCACATGATTTTAAATAATATAAAACTATAACTTTCTTGGGCACATGAAGCAAACAAATATTTAAGTCTTTCGATCACAATTAAATACAATACCCGTGTGTAGGTACTGCAAATGTCCAGTGTAATTTTGCAAATACAAATATATTTTTTGTGCAAATTCACTCTTATGTGAAACTGGGAAGCCACTTGTAAAATGTAAAAACTAGCGCTTTCCTTACAACTTTTCGAAAACTTATTTCCGAACCATTCTTCTAAGTTTTGCATGATATATTTTTCTTTTAATACTACGATTTTTTATCTAACACCTTTAAGGGACGATGTCTGAAGCGTGAACTATTTAAGATTAATTCAATTAATCTTTAATTATTATTTTATTATTATCTCTCAATTAAAAAATTTGAATTAATTCAAATTCCATTAGAAGTAAATAGCTATTATAACAATAGAAAGGGCCATAAAAGCAAAGCATCAATTAAGTAGAATCCCAATTTCCTGTCGTAAATTTAATATATACTTTTGACATGTTTTGATTTCAGAAAGAAGTAGAATCTTCCAAATCGAAGCTAGAAGCTGCTGCTGAGCGTTTGGAAAAATTGGGCGATACCACAAACCAGGTCAAAAAATATTACGTTAAGCTGAAAACTGACGTCGCAAAGTCTGAAACGGAGGTAAAACAGAATGCAAATAATAGAAATTTTAATGCATATTATATAAAAAGGTCAAACACTCAATATTGCTGCAAATTGAAAATGATCAGTAATATGATTTAAAACTGGTGAGTTTTCCTTAAAAACGCACGAAATTATGTCATCTATTCAAAATATGAACAATCTAGAATAGTTACTTACTTTAGATATCAAAACTTCAACTTCAGCTAATTGGGCATTAAAACACTTACAAAAAATTGTTTCTTTAGTAAAATCAAGTTAATAAAACAAAAGGCATTAAAATGCATACCATAATTTTAAAATAAATGCTGATTTTTCATAAATAGATTAACGAGCTGCGCAACCAAATTGACGATTTCAAGATGAGACAACTTCGTCTAAGAGAAGAAGTGAACGAAAATGTGAAGTACTACACAGGGATGCTCAACAACATTGAACATACTGTAGCAAATGACGAATTCGAAATTGTGAAAAGATCTTTACTTTCAGGTAGATATAATTTTATTTAAAACATAATTTATATCAAGTTATAGATGAAAAATGTTGTCTAGTTTGTAAAGGCAAATACCGCAAAAATGAAAGAAAAAAACCGATTGATATTAGAAGCATTTTGCCATTATTTTCTAATGTACAAATATGGCCCACGCTTGCTGTAAACTGTATCAGTTTGAAATAGTTATTTCCGAATTCAGTCGATATATTTTATTGCAGGTTTTTCGTTGCTATATTTCACTATTTCCCTTTTACTTTATGCACACTTCTAATAATCTACAATTACATGTCCCCTTTACTTGCTTCATTCCTTCATTGAGATATTATTGAATTGCAGATGTCGACTCGTTCTAAGGACTGTTTAGAAGAACAACAAGATTCAAAAACATTTAAACTCATAAAGCCACATTTCTGATAGACGTGGACGGTGTACAGGGCCGATTACTATATTGTTCACATTTACTAAAGATCAAATAAACACTTACCTTGAGAGCGTGGACTGTTTATCTTCTAATTTATTTGCATGACCGTTTGCATGCCCGTTCATGTATGCTCGTGCGGTTCCATTTGAACCTGCAATTAAAATGATACACTCAAAAATACTATATAAACAATGCAATTTTATTGACGAAAAAGGCACGAGAGTTTCAACATGGATTGAACAGAAAATTGTTGTATTAAAACTAGCTTGTTTGCCTGAGATCAATACAGATAAAGCAAAGTAATTAATTTTGAAAGTTTGTTCATTTACAAAACACGGTATTAAGTAGCAGTCAACATTTTATGGATTATGCACGCATTTCCATACGCGGTGAGCTAAAAATATATTGAAGACGCTTCAAATTTTGAGTTTTGGTGTAAGAATACACTGACAAGACTGACAAGACTATTGATGCATGAAAAGTGTGGTTTCAAATTATTTTTACCAAAGCACTTGCTTAATAAGTATTAAAAATTAGGCGAAAATACATAAAATACCTACATGGTATTTAATAGTAACAAAACCAGGTAGAATATAAGAACCTTCCAGTTTGTCCATAACGTTTCTATTCCTTGTTCCTAGTCCATGTAAAAAAATAAATTATGAATATAACTACCCTAAATCGGCAATGAAATATCTAATGTCTTCAGATGCGCTAATCTATAAAATAATTAGTCAGCAAGCAAATGCTTCAGACATTACTTGTAAGAATTTTCAAAGCAAATTTATTTGCAGTCACAGATGCAATTTACTGTAGGAAAAGACCTGAATAGGTAAATGAGAATTGCATTGTTTTTATTTAGTTCAGTTGAAAATTAACCGCCATCTGAGTTCATACCGCACTGGCAAATCCTCGTTGAAATTTAGACCTTAACAGTTGCGTTTACGCTTTTGCGACAATCTAATTGTTTGAGCCTTTTTATAAGTATTATTAGTTTACTTATTTTGTGTTCAGGCTTCTAATATACCGCAACGGTAGATCCACTTCAATAAACACTATAGTATTAGTAACCTCAATATTAGCTGTTTAAATAATTCGTTTAGTAAAAAAAATAAATCCTGGTTAGTGTTATGGTACTCAATTTGATGCAGATCTTCCGAATTTCGATTTTCCATTTTTCATATATCAATCATTAATAAGCATTTTAGCTTCTTGTAACGAAGTGCAATTTTCACTGGTGTATATCGAATTATAGTGATTTGAATACAATTACACTTGGCTTGCACTAGAAGAATTCCAATCGGCCAAGCTCGAATGTGTAAATGTGTAACGGCGTTCATTGTACACACTTTGTTCGGTTATATAAATGAGTGACAGAACCACTAAGTCACTTTAACTACATGTAAGCCAAGCGCTTTCTTTGCATATAATTTGCTTTGTTAAAGATCTGAACCTGTTGAGGAATTCTTCGCGAACAATGAGCCACTTTTTACTTTTATTAGTGCAACTTCCATTGAAAAATGTTATCATCAACGTTCATTTTTACTTTGTCAATTTATTTAAATTTTAAATACATTTGTTGCATGCAAAAACAAACGTGTTATTAATGTTTTTATTGACTTTTCAATTAAGCAAAGATTTATAATACCAAGCTTGGGATTATATTTAATGCATGAACTGAACGAGCCAGGTCTAGGCAAAATCATTTAAATCGAGGTGAATCTAAATGCACATTTTGGTCAGTCCTTGTAGCATCAACTGAGGACTAATTAAAACATCGACAGACATTAACCAGTTTGGAATGTTACAGTTCACCTACTATTTATTATTAACGACCACTCATAAAATGGGATACCAACTGATACGCTGGCTAAAATAATAGTTCATCTTCAACCATGTGCAAATATTTCAAGTACTTCCGCTTTTTTTACATGCAATTCCTTGAATGCATTCTGGGATCTGTTATGCAATCAGGAATGTTTGATTCGCATTTAGTCAAGTAAAATATTTAAAATCTACGAGTTAATGTAACATTCTCAGTTCCAATTATTATTTCATGTGCGTTGAATACTTGTGCAGTCTAAATATAAATAAAGATTATTTACGTCTTAAATATTTAATGAATTTTATAATTGTAAAAATGCGTACATAATTTAAAATATATTTAGTTTAAGTTAGTTTTTTAAGACGTAGAATTGATTATCTTGTTTGTCTTCGTCTTACGTGTTAATTTACTCAGATCATTTTATAGTTTAGCTACTCAGTTTTCAAAAGTTTTTTATCCGGCATTCCCTAAATTTTGTGTGGTACCTAAAACTAATTCGTTGTAACAAAAGTTTTGGATGGTGATTCAGTTATATTAATAAATGCAAAAGATCCGTTTTCTACTTATGAGGAAGCAAAGATTTATTTAAACATACTTTGAGGGCTTCCATAAAAATTGCAATCTTATCAGCCCTGAATATAATATTCAGACTCTCATCAACGGCGTGTGCTATTCGCATATATTTTCATCATCATAAATTCGCGAGCAGGAACGTTTTCAGGCATTTTCCAAATCTCATTTCCTTCCAGATGACGATGTGCGAAAAAGGAATATGAGATTTTTACAAGACTTCAGAGATTCGCGCTATTTCTATTACGCTACATATTCCCATTTTTATCTGATGTATAACGTATGGGTCAAAGTGAAAACTCCACAATACTAACGTTGATCATATTTTTTTCCCATCTTTGTTCACAAATTTTCTTGCTCACTGTCCTAAAATTTTCATGTTCTGTTCGCATTTTTCTGTTGCCTTTACAACATGATCATTTGGTAAGAAAGATAAGAACGCGTTTTTAACCGTATACTTCCTGAAAATCGTTCAACTATTTGCATTTGAGGTCACAAACGGACCACATTGGTCGGTTTCTTTTGCACAATTTATGTGCTCAAAAATCTGGTCACCTACCGAATATATTATCAAAGCACAGGTACGAATTCCTTAATGGAAAAGATGCAGTTATTTCAATATAACAGCTTCGTTAAATAAACTCGAGCAAAAAAAATGTGCAGAGAATCTAGATCAACTATGCAGCAAATTGCCGACATAACAGCACCTGCATATAATTTTTTCCAGTTAAAGTAAGCCAATAAACTTGGGCAAAACAGTGACGATTATGATGGCAGAAGGAAATAAGTGGTTTGCTAATGCTACTTATTTCATTAACTTTATAATAAACAGGAGTTTTCACATTTTTCTTGCTCTTTTTTTTGGCTGAATTAGCCATCTAATCAAATTCCCGTTACCGAGATTATTAAAATAAAAAGCCAAAATGTAAAACCAAATAAAGACTGACAACTAATAAGAAATCGATGCTGTATTTTTCGAGACCATAAACATTAGCAAATAGGTTGCCCATTTGCTTATTGTTGCTTAAAACGAGTAACGAAACCAAAACAAATTATGCTGTTGTCACTTTAGTAGATCAAGTTCGTTAATGCACAATTGAAAAACAAGTTATTTCAATTTTTTTTCGTTATAATTGAATGTTTGCAAGTTGGACACGGCTTTTGCAGAAATTGTTAATTTTATAATAAGGTAAGCAGGGTTTTTAGATACGTAATAGTACAGGATAATAGTTAGTTAATTTTAAGGTAAAACTGCGGCTAATTATAAGCATGCATTGGTAAAGGCTCTGTGAGGAGGCTTCATTCATTTGAATTCAAAGGCATCAAGGAATAATGCTTTAAATTCAAATTCCTGATCAGAAAAAAATAGCTGATTTTCAAAAACGATGGTTAATCGATATTTCTTTAAAACCTTCTTGTAAAGGGGAAAATTATTGAAACGTGGTGTAACAGAGATCGAAAGAAAAAAATGAAGTTAATGTGGATTATAATATTATACAATGTAATAATTCTAGCATAGAATGAGAAAACAAATAGCTTGCAAGGGATAATTTATAGATGGCTTTCCTAAATGAAAGTGCAAAAAATTGGTTTATTAAAGGTTAAAGCAAAGATAGAAACTCATTAAATATACTTAAATATTTCGGTGCCGCTCAAGTTTTGGTGGCAATGTTCAGATAATTAGCAGCAGCTACTTTTCGTGTAGGTACAGCTTCTGAAATGGGGTTAGTAGAATTATAGTTTTGTAACTTTTGATAAGTTTCTTGATCGACACAGGAATTAGTGAAAGAAGTGTGTTTCATTTTCTTTGTTACTTTTGTAACTTGAGCCTTCATTTCTACTTGTTCCTATTTGTCAGGGTTATTATGTAATCCGAATTTCCTTCTAAACTTACCATAACTGGCTTCAATAACCCACCACTGGTTGGATCACATTAATTATACACTTCTAAAGTCTTCTCTTAATGCGTTAAAATTGCTCAATTCTCCACACAGCGATTTTCACACTGCCAGAACTGGGAAAAATTTCAAATTTATTGCAAAATATTTACACAGAACTATTGGGGTCATATTAACTTTACTGACTGCGTATTTGTAGAGTTATACCAAATATTTCTGGATTGCTAGCAATTTTAAACAAATTTTTAGTTACTAAGTGAAGGTTAGTACCTGAAAATATTGCGCATTATTGATTTTGAAACGCATAGAAATTAGCTGCACTCATATTGAGAATCTTAAATGGATTTAAAATCATGTACAAATTTTCGTTCTAAGCTAAATTCTAGGACATTTTCATCAGCAATAGTTCATTTCTTCAATTTGTGGACGGTATTGAATTGATATTATTCCGGTTTGATCTAGTAAATTTATTTACTCAATTTTTCAATAGATTTTAGAATTATTTCTGACAACAATTTGTTTAAATTTCATTTTAATCATTGAATATTTTGTTCGTTAACAAAATTTTCTGTTATTTGGAAGAAGGAAGTATACATTTGGGTATATTGCGATAATATTAGGAATTTAAAATTTAACGCACATATTTTCGGATCAGTTATATATTTTTATACTTTCTTATATAACCTGGACTTATCAATATCTTTTTATATTTTCAAGCCGTTTTGGGGGGGTCTCTATTTGAATATTATTCTTTCATTTTAGAACGATTTATTCGAGATTATTGAGAATGTTAATTCGGAAATGACAATGAACAAATCATGCATATTCAAAACCGAACTTTCGCTTCAAAGTAGTCCTCATTAAGTAAAACTGTTTGAAACTCACGGCAGTAACAGGTAATGAGCCGTTTTTCTCCTAAGCTTTAAACCAATTTCCTACTTATTGCATTAAATTTAATCAACAAAATCGGCGAAGTTAAATTTTGCAGAAATACATCGAGCAGTTTAACATCTATTTACCTTCTATAGATTTACTCTTCCGTCAATGCGGTTCTACAAATGATGCAATCTGGACGCCTAAAAGTATAGCTAACGGGTTTGTTTTCGCATCACAATGTCGGTAATGAAGCTAATTTTAGTGCAGTTATGCGTATTTATGTAACTTATAACATTATCTAGGTAAACACGGGTAAAGCGTATAATTTCAACTGCATCTTTTCTTGAATTATGTAGAACACTTGCGGCTTTCATGCGTCGTTCATAAATGCCTTGACTGGTTAGAACGTTTGAACACATCAAATTAAGTTGGAAGTAGCAAATGAGTTTAAATCCACCTGCATAAATATTCTTTCAATTCGAAAATTCCCACACATGCAGGCAAACATTTTCGAATAGAACCCAGTGTATGTTTAACTACATGACTTATCTCGCCGATATTCAAATGCGAACTAGGAATCCCACCAATTCCAGAAGCCGCATGAGAATCTTGTAAGTTCAAATCTAAATGGCATTTAAATCTCCTTAGAGCGTGCTAAGTGGTAAGCGCACAAAAGAGGAAGCAATAAAATGGTTGTAAGAGCAACGAATGCATGTGTTAATTTTCTTTAATTAACCAAAGATACTCACGAAGAAGACCCTGTGCATGCGGAAAAGAAAGTCGAGTATGCCAGTTAGTGAAAAAAAACGTGCTTCTCTTCGGGTTAAGGAGCACTCTTTGCCAATGCATTTCCAAAGTTTTCATACCTAACAAGATCAGTTGAAAGTTTCAAAAAAAATGGCCAACGTCAATTAAAAATGAGCAAAGCAAAATTGTATGGAACTCCAGGTTTTGCCAGATATTATAACAGTTCAAATTAGATTTGTACATTGATTTTCTAATCATGACCGAGTCTATTCTTCTTTCACAACCCTCGTTAGTCACGATTTAAAGGCAGTCAGTACTTTTCAACAGTGCCACATTCAAAGGTAAAACGCAGCTAAAATGCGTGTTAATTTACTTGCGTTCTTTATTTAAAACTTAACCCGATTATTAATATGTTTGTTGTAGCTTCAGAGAGCCGAACATATTGAAGCTTAAAATAGAAACTATTAAATTAGTCGCTTCTGAACTCGCTTCTTAAGAACCAGCCCAATGTAACATATTTGGAAATCTTAACAAAATTGCTCTCAGGGTTCAGAAAATTTCCAGTAGGACTCATATCTAGAAAACGTTCCTTATCTTTTTCCAGTAATGGTACATATGAGTACTATTTATTTATCTCTTTCCCATCCTCATCTATTAAACTTTATCAAAACTTACCATCGAAAATGATGGTATGAGAGTTCTGAATCCTTTGACCAACCCAAAAATCACTGTCACTATCAAACATTTTTTTGGAAAAATAAACACAACACATCGACGCAGTCCATTGCCAACTGGGTGCACAATTAAACAGTTTTCTAGTTAATCGGAATGGTCACACAAAATAGTTTGCTGCGATAATTTTGTAATCAAACAGTACCAAGGAAAAAATGGATATTTAGCATTGTAGCAAGCGAGCTGTTGTAATTTTTCTAGCCGATAATAGCTGATTGTTGTGGGGAAGTGCTTAATAATTGAAAGCGTGTTTTTGCATCCACTGAACACATTGAAGGTTGATGCCACGATGCTACTTGCCAGGAAATTAGCATACTTATTAGGAAAATAGTATTAAATAATTCATGAAAGCTTATTGATAATTACAAGGTTTCTTAATAGAATAATTTTCAAAGCTAGCGTAGATTCGATTAGCGTTTTGATGTTAGGTGGTTCATAACCGATAAGACGTAAGGAACACGCTTGAAGCGCGAACGCTATAAGAAAACAATAGACAATAGGCTATTAAAAATATTTTGCGAGAACTTTTCACTTTCAACCACACAGAAAAGCACAAAATAGTCACTGTTATAAAAAGCCAAGCAGGTTTTATAGATACACGTCTCGGATGCAACTGATTTTTTTCAACCCACAACACTCCAGTCGCAATAATTACTACAAACGATGGCGATGAGTTGAAATAATAAATAATTGCAATGACAAACCTTGACTCAGCAATGCAGTATTATAATTAGACGCAGAGGTGCTTAAAATATGTATCCGCACAAGTAGAAAATATAAATTTCGAAGTGAATTGAATCAAAATTCGAAGACTTCAATGCTGCAGTCCAACAATAACACTAGAAATAATTTGAACAAACGTCATTTGATGGAATGATTCTGAAGAGCAAACAGACACGAAATGTGTCGATCATCCAATGAATATTGTTCTCATATTCCGATGAGACGATGAGACAATAAAGATACAATTTTTGGGAAAAATGCTGGGTGAAAATATCCGATAAACGTTCTTATTTGTCCGATTTTAAAAACACTTGCAAAAGTAGAAGTAATTATCTGAAAGCATTTCTTCTACATCAGAAAGTCATAGTTTTAACTATCAATTGGGAGCAGCTCTCAAAAAAGTTTGCTGTTAAATCGCACGATTTATTAGATTTAAAAATAAACTATTATATTAAGTAATTAATTATTTATAATGGAATTAAAGTCTGACCCAAGCAGAAAATTTCGTTCACATAACAAAATTGAAATTAAAACTCGACACTAATTAATTATCAATTTCATTGTTATTTAACATTAAAAAAGTGGTTTTGTAGTTTAACTTTGTGAACAGTATTTTGAGCGAGAATGAGGGATTAGCAATAAAATGATGCAAATTATTAAACACAATTATGGTCTATCGAATTGTACGAAGAATAGGAAATATTTTCGAAATAGTTGGTCCAAAAAGACAATTGCTTTTAGCGAAAGAAAAAAACGAAAAACTTTTTAAATACTAATTGAATTTCACACTGGAATCTTGTGAAATTACTCACATTTTCCGCACCTGGCTATGTCTTTTCATATTATTGGCATTTACGCCGATAGAGCAAACTTAATATGAAATATTCCAAAATATGGAAAACATATTTACAATTTCTTAATTAGTATAGATATTCAATTGAGGTATAGTTTAAACAATATTTTCACAAATATTGAAGAAGACACACACAAGAAAGGAGTATTTTCCCCCAAACCTCATTAATAACGAAAAGCAAAAAAATATATTTCAGTTGGTTCGAGCTTTAGCTTTTTAGAAAAACAGTTAATATCGTAAAGAAGCATACGCGATTAATGCAGTCTTTAGAGACTTAATACTTAGGTATTATTCAAACAGGTCTCATTTAGTAGAAACTTTGAGTTCGAGTTTATCGGGAAGACATAGTGAAGTACCGATTCAGCCTGATCGAGTTCTAATGGTAGAAAAAATTAACTATAGGTACGACGTAGTACAAATTTCGAGAAAACATTAAAATAATTTAATATACACTTGTGTCCTTGAGCTTTCCGCAATACGAGGCAAAAATATTTTTAAATTTAGCTTTTTCATTTAGTAAGGAATATGCTGTACACTTCAACGGTGTTAATAGTAAAACATTTTTAAGTCCGATGTACCAGGGAAGGTCTATGTAGGTATTATAGGAAAGAAGTGTTTTCCCTGTAATAAGCAAATTGTAGATGTTTTTATTGTTAGAATCATTGTACTCTTTAATATCGTTTACTATCTTAACAGAACCAACAAGAGTTGTTCGATGTTTCCTTAAATAAAATGTATATTTGTCTAATTTAGATATCTAAATGAATATTGATGTTTAAGCAATGTTAGACAATTTTGATTATTTTCCTACCTGTTGTAGTACTTTTTAGGGGAATTGACGATGTAGAGTCAGATTATTATCCAATTTTCATACACGTGAATTTTTAAAGATTCTAGAATTAGAAGATACAGTTGTCTAGTTAAAGTTTCGGCTTTAAGAAGGTAGCTTGTGACACTCTTGAACGTGAAGTCTTACTTTGCTTCCCAGAATTATTGCCCTAACTTTGACTTTGCTAGGAAACTGAGGCCTGGCCGTCTTTAAATTGTTGTGGGATTCATTATTCCAATATCTACAGTCCCATTTGTTAAAAGCCCCACTTAGAAAATAAATCGATTTATCAACAAATCAAAATAATTGTTAAGTACAAAACTAGACTTATAAATTCGCAAAATTGAATCATTATATCTTAATCTTCTTGGGCGAGTTTGTTTCATTTTCCAAGATGTTCCAAGAAATGTGTAACTTCTATGAAAAGACTTAGTCGTTTTTAAAGTATCTGTAGTGCCAAGAACCTGTAGAAATATTTGTAAACCTCGATACTTTTCAAATCGACAAATTCGGATCAGTAGCAAACTGACCTAAAACCTCCATTTGGTAAGCAGCACAGAATCCTTGGCTCAGTAATATTTTGATACATACTGACCTAATTTTGTGACTGACTTAAATGTGCACACTAATTTCATCACAAACTTACAGTGAACAATTTGGAAATTTGGCGGGCAGAGTCATTTTCAGTTCGATTAAGAAAATTTATTTCGGCTTTTTCTTCTACCCTTCAATTCTACCCTAAATCCGTCGATTAATATTTCTGTCTTAACGCTTCTAAATGATGAACCGACCAGACTATTTTACTTTTTTCTAAATCACAGGACAGAGAATTGATATTTAGAGGCGCAGAACAATGACTGTAAGAATTAAATTAACTTTGAGATATAAGTTCCCCCTAAGTTCATTACACAAGTAAATGTTTTTGACGTCTCGCTTTGAAATGCAAACATTGTATATTTTTCGCATTTATACACTTGCTTTTAATATTTTATCCGTTGTAAATGTTTCAAATGATTTTTTTAAACGTTTGGTCATATGCAAAAACAAGTAGCGCCACAACAAAGCAAGTAACTACGTTAATGCTAAAAAAGCTGGCACATCTTCCGCTATTTGCAGCATCCTTGCAAATTGTCTGAAAATGTAATTGACCTTATTTTACTATCCACTATTTTACTTATCCGTATTTCGAGCAATTCCAATCGCTGTGTATATTTTCCAATACACGCTATAAACGCGATTCGTTCTGAATATGAAAGCCAGACCTATTTATACTGTCTTGAACTAGGCAGTTCTTCACCAAGCTTAAAAGATCGGAGAAGACATTGCTTCAATTTTCTGAAAGAAGTAAAATATGTCTGAAATATTTTGATCGGAAGCTTTTGCTAAAACACAATGGATGTGTTTTCACTTATTTTACAGCCACAGATTCCATACCTTGTGTGCATCTTGTACCGGTAAATCATCATCAAAATACCGTTTATTATTTTTAACATCCACATTTTATCACGAGATTATCGTATTGCGTGCAGCAATAAATCGAGCATTGCAATGATATTATGGATTCCGTATAGGCATTACGGTGCTGCAAATGTCACGGTAGCTAGCTTCTTATTATGTATTTATTGATACAAGTACAAAATATGCCATTATGTAACGTTATTCCGTTCTTCGACTAACTGCTTTTTGAAATATTAATGCCGTTTTCAGATGGGATGTTGTGCCGTTTCAGAGTTTCAAACAAGAGTCTTTTCGCACCAAATCCTTATAATGTATCTGAGTACATAAATAAATATGTAGTTCAATCAAGAAAACACCTCATTACTGAAAGCAACTGTTCTTGATTATTTTTATTATATAACTTCGAATGTTGAGTGTGTCGATTAAACACCTTTATGTCGATTATTAACGACTTGAAATTGAAGGACTGAAATAAGTTAAAATAAGTTAAATAAGTTATTATGTTATAAGTTAAGTGTTTGTACTTAAATTCGTAATGTATGAAAAAGTTTTTTTTTGTATATATTTTACGAGAAAATGTTATTCTTTTTGAATCGTTCTGCATGTACTAAATTATGAAGTGCAACTATCAGCTATTAAATGCTTCAATCGTGTTTGCAGTTTGTCAAAAAATATGCTGTGTTTATCTCTGCGGGGATGTAAATTGCATTGAAAATGTAATTTATGTAACTTTACTTATTAATAAATAAATAAATAAATAGTTATGAATTTTGCTCAAGAGTAAAGTGCTTTTATTTTTGACATAATGGAAAATTGTTATTTAGCACAGTATTTGTGGAAATTTGCTTATTGGTTCTTATACGGACAGGAAACTATAATCGATAGATAACTTGAGAAAAATTTGTAAAACTAATTAAGCAGTAAGCTTGATATTTGAACTCTATTTTCTTTTAGTTTTAGTCTTTTAGTTTTGATACTTTTTAGACTGTTTTCAAACAATTTTTGATATTGCCAAAAATAAAAGTACTTTACTCTTGTGCAAAATTAATATTTTTTGAGTAACCGCTTACACGGCTGAAAAAGCTTTTATATCCGATGCTAGTTTTAGATTTTAGAACATGCTTTTTATAAAGAGCAACGTTTTCTGTGAAAAGTTTTCCATTTGTTGTCAAAAAAGCCTGGGCTCCTTTCTGAGAGCCTGGCCTCTTCTAGTACTGCCTCCGCAATTTCATGCTGTTGCATGTTTTTAATATTTCAACAAATCTTGCTTAAGAAATGGAAAATTATTGCTGATAAAAAGATTGTTCATGGATTAAACTAAAATTTACAATTCTCCTTACAAAATATTTTAGTTTTAACGTTTCGACCAAAATTCCTCGGACTTCCATTGAACCACCAAATTCAAATTTGAAGTATACTTAGGTTTTACCGGACCAATTTCAGAACCTTGCACCAAAATAATGGAAATAATTCGGTATAGGACAAAAATAATTCTGTAACTGGCAGCAAAATCCTCACCGTAAAACACGTTTATATCTACCAAATTTTAAGATTAACAACTCTTTCATGTCGTGTATGAGCTTTTGTTTATTGTCAGTCAGACCCTTTGTAAATGTACAAATGTAGAAGTTTGACTCAAAAAGCTAATAAGCTTTTTGAGTTTTTACAAGTGTCTTTTCTCCTTTTTTGCATTAACGAGTTATGCTCATCAAAGAATCAACAGAATTGAAGAAAATTCGGAAATTCTCA